TTATTTTAGAACCCCAATAGGTTGTATGAGTAAAAAAATATTAAAAAAATATTAATAACTAGCTGCAAAGATGAAAACTCAACAGCTGTCCAAACCACATGGGTGTGAACATTCTATACTTCATGAAACTGCAGAGTTGCCCTGTGATGTAATCTTGGGACATGTAACTTCACAGCAGTTTTAACCCCAGTCTGTGTTTTAAACACAGTCAGATGAATTTTAAACACAAAGAACAGAAACAACCAGTTCTAAAAAGGTGTGTTAATTAGTTTTTTGACATCTGCTAGAAAATCAGACACAACTATTGTAAGTTTCCTGCTACCACTATAACTAATCTCCAGACACGTCAAACTCCCAAATGGGCTGTCTTATTAGTAATGTGTCTGGTAAGCAAACTGATGTAAGAAGATAGAGTCCTAATTGGAAATGCTCTTCAAAATATGAGTATGTCAAGCACAATTTGAGGCTAGTGGGCAAAAGAGCTCAACCACTAACCCATATTCTTAATTGTAGGGAAACAAGTAGAAAGCTCCATAGAGGGGTGGGGCACATTTCTCAGTTAAATAACCATCAAGAATTTATAGAAACTAGTTCCCTTTGGCATTAACAGTTCTACCAAGTTAAGATGCACACGTGCACTAAAAAAGTATTTAACAGTGCGTCAAATAATATTCAGGCTCTAAAAAACAAATTTAAACTTTAAATATATAACTCTTCATTCTTCTATTGTTTCCACTGTGTGGTTGTCCCAAAAACCTATTAAATGGAAGGCTAGATAATGATGGAGATATTAACTCTCAGTTTTCTTTCTCTATCTAAAACAGTATCAGTAAGGCTCACTTCACAGGCTCCTATTTCAATTACTAAAAAAATGTTTTAAATGCTCCTCATTCTTGAAAAGTGTAGCAATATGTTCATCATACACAACCTACTTTACAGTCCACAGATCAAACACAGTTTCCTGACCCACATATTGCCCTAAGATTTATGACCTCTGTAACTTTCTGTCAAAAGTCTCTTTCATTTATATTTACTTGCAGGGCCCAGATAAATTATCTCCTGATCCTATATGCTCACACAATCAATAAATTTCTGAGCCCATCCTTCTTCAACTGCATCCTTCCTCACTTCCACATAAATTTCAACTATTCAGGAAAGCAAACTCACTCATTTAACACACCCTCAAGAATATATGAAGTGTCACAACTCTTCAGACTTTAAATGCTTTTCTCCTTTAATGTTTCCCTGACTCCAAGGTACCCCAAGAAAAAGTCATTATGCCCAAGCCACTTCTAAGCAACCCCATCCTTCAAGAATCCTTTCATCCATAATCCCACCTACTAACCCAATCAACTCTGCATTTCAAACATGCATCACATCTTCAGTCTTTTGTTCACTTACCATGAAAAAAAACAACCCTCAGCTACTTCAACTCCGGGGGGGGGGGTATACTAAAAACACCCTTCTCCTTTCCACTCAAACTTTTTATTAATCTCCCCCAATGCCACAGAAAAGGCCATCTCCAGAACTCAAAGGATCTCTGCCTCCGATCTATAATGCATGGGTGATAGGAAAACTTTTCCCAGCCTAGAGCCTTGTTCTCAGGATGGCTCTTTTCAACCTCAATTCTCCCCCCTAGACAATTTCTCTCTCTCTGCTACTATCTGTAGGGGGATACTGCGCCACAAACCATGCAACTACATTTTAGCTTACCGTATTGTACAAAACACAGTCGATGCGGTGAGTTAATGGCTCGGGGTATAAAGGAAACACAGGAAATTGTGTCAACTAGATAAAATAATGGTTAAATTAACTCTGGCTAAGAGGATCCCGCAAACCCAGCATTCACACGCGCACCATGAACTGCCGAAATCTCACTTCGGCCAAACGCCTCATCCAACTTCACGCCAGTTGGGGGTTCAGGTGTCTCGTGTGAACGCTGGGACTCGGGGCTACGTTAGGATCAACCCGATCTCAAAGCTCTTGTCATTGCAGGGCTCGAGACCGGCTCCGTACCATTACGCCCCTTGAACATACCCCATATACCCGCGAGCTCCCATCTCCACAAGAAGAGACTCCCCACCCACCCACCCCCACGCCCATTTTAGGAGAGCTCCTCTCAAGCTACCTCCCTGTCACAGCGAGCAGCCCTCCCGCCCCGCTTTCCCCAACCGCCCGCTACCTTCTTCCTCCCCCCCCCCACTCTCCCCCCTCAGCTCACGAAAAAAAGAGCGCCCGGACCTATTTTCCCTCACCCTTACCTGGACCAGAACGCGGCCAAGGCAGGCCGCGGCTCCAATTGGCGACTCCCTCGTCCTGAGTCAAACCAGCCTCGGCAACGGAGCCGCCTCCGCCTCCTTCTCCCGCCTGCCTGCCTGCCTGACCGCAAGCTGAGGCGGCGCGAGGCACTTCCGGGTTGGTTGGGGGGAGGGGGAGAGAGAGAGAAAGAGAGAGAGAGAAAATCCCCTCCTCCGGCGCACGCGCACCCAGCAAGCGTGGTTGGTGGTGGGGGGGGAGGAAAGGCGAAGACCTGGGAGCGGAAGAGCGCAAGCGCCCTCTTGCCAAAAGCGGGTCGAGGCGGGAGTGATTCGTGTGGCGCAGGGGTAGGCAACCTTGGCTCTTTGATGACTCATGGACTTCAACTCCCAGAATTCCTGAGCCAGCACAGCTGGCTCAGGAATTCTGGGAGTTGAAGTCCATGAGTCATAAAAGAGCCAAGGTTGCCTACCCCTGGTGTGGCGTCTTCAGTCGGTCCCTTCGTGCTGGGAATCCTGGTCTCCAGATCCCCAGAAAGGGCTCTGAAGGCGGCAGGAGTGAAATTCTGGCGGGCCCGAGATGCTCGAGCTTTGTTGTGTTCGGCCACTAAACTGTATCCGACTCTTAGCGAGCAAGTGGAGCCCGCCCACTCCCCTCAAGTCTCCCGGAGTCTTGCCCATAAATTCATGTTCATTGCGTCGGTGACACTACCTAACCATCTCGTCTATGCAGTCCCCTTCTCCTTTTGCCTTCAATCTTTCCCAACGTGAGGGAATGAAGGAATCTCAATGAACTATTCTCCAAAGCACCTGAAGGCAGGACAAGAAGCAATGGATGGAAACTAATCAAAGAGAGAAGCAAGCTAGAACTAAGCAGAAATTTCCTGACAGATCAATGGGACCGCTTGCCTCCAGAAGTTGTGGGTGCTCCAACACTGGAAGTTTTTAAGACAGTGTTTCTCAACCTTGACCATTTTAAGGCATGTGGACTTCAACTCCCAGAATTCCACAGCCAGCAATGCTGGCTGTGGAATTCTGGGAGTTGAAGTCCACATGCCTTAAAATGGTCAAGGTTGAGAAACACTGTTTTAAGAGATTAGACAAATTTGTCTAAAATGGTAGGCTTCCTGCCTGAGCGGGGGTTGGATTAGAAGACTTCCAAGGTCCCTTCCAACTCTGTTATTCTGAATCCTCTCTTTCCGTTTGGGTTGATCCGAGCTACCTGCATCCATAGTTTGATTTGGGAGAACCAGTTTCAGATCATAAATCTCTAGTTACCAAGACAGCATATTATAACAGTTAAGGGGTTTGGCGTTGGGATACCAGGGTTCAACTGCTTGTTTAACTATGGAGATTACGGGATTACTTTGGCCAGTCATCTGGCAGCCTAACCTACTTTTGCCTGGTTTTAACTCTAAAAGGAGAGAACCCGTATAAGCCACCTTGAACTCCCAGATGAAATGGAAAATAAATGCAATTAATATTAAAATGTGAAAACATACTATTGTTCTCCAACAAGCATACAACTATATTTGAGATCTGTTCAATTCACTGAACAATAGTTATGTAAGATTCTAAAAATTAACCATAAAGCCAATCAGCACATGGAATTGTTGATTCCCATGTTTTATCCTTGTTTTAGCTATTGTGATTTTTTTTCTCTATATGGTCCAAAGCAGAAAATATAACTTTTTTTCTCTCTTAAGCATACTATAACTTCATATATACAGGTGTGTTTTGTCAGAATTCAGGGGATAGGATAAATAGAGGGACTAGAGTAGTAGAGTTCAGTCTACATGCCAAGAACAGTGTGCAAATTATCATACAAAATTCTCAATTTCAGAGGCTAACAAAAAAATGCCCATGATCAGAGCCCTACAGCGAGAAAAATGCCAGATTCTCAAGCTACTCTTTAAACAGAGTAACAAGTTAAATTATTGCTAATGAACTCTGGATAATTGAGAAAGGCAAAGAAGACAAAAAAGGTAATATTTTTATTGATTACAGAAAGGCCTTTGTGTAGCCCATGTCAAGCTGTGGAATGGGCTTAGGAAAATGAGAATCCCAGAACATTTCATTGTCTGCACATGAAAATAGTACCTAGGATAGGAAGCCACAGTCCAGGAAGAATATAGTGAAACAGACTGGCTCCAGATTGGCAAAAGAGAAAGGACAGACTGTATATTCGCTCATTTATTCAACCTACATGCTGAATATATATTGAAGGAGCTGGAATAGAAAAGTAGGATGATGTTTTTAAAATTAGAGAAAAATAACTGCTATTCTGATGACACAACTATGGTAAGTAAAAATGCAAATGTTCTGCAAGTTCCAGGAGTGAAATTCAAGAAGCACAGTGAATAAATAAAACTAAGAATAAACATAAAGAAGACAAAACAAATGACAACATATACCACCCTCAGAATTGACAAATAAGATATTCAAGTGAAGGATAGTTTCTGCCTTTTAGGAACAACTGCCTTTTAGGGACAACTATCATCAGTCAAGAAATACACCCCAGACTATTACTCATGCTTGGCCTATGATCATCTTTTGAGTTTTGATTATTCATGTTGAAGACTGTGGCAAACTCTACTACAGGCAAGGTGTAGTTCATTTGTCAAGTTATTTTCAAAAACATTCCTTCAAAAACTAGCATTTCTAAAATATCCCTGCATATTTGTAAAATATCCCTGCAGGCAGGGCGAGAAGTAACCTATTCCAATAAAGACTACTGTAACCAGATTTGCAGTGAGAAAATTGTTTTAATACAAAAGTGAAAGAATCTCAAAGTGCAAATACATCCTTGTTTCCATTAGGTCAAATGGCACCAAGAAGGATGAGGGAAAGAAAGCACATTTTGTCCCTCCTTTTTTTCTGTGCACCTTTCCAATTGTTCATGTCAAACAATTAGGGTTTTCCTTAAAATCTCCTCCTCTCTCAAGCAATTGTAACAAATGAGTAGAAAATGTTACTCCAAGTGGTGTGACCTATTTCAATCTTTCAATGAAAGTACAGAAGGACCAGCTTCCTGTTTCAGTGACACCAAGAGCTAAAGATTGGATCTAACTAAAGTACAATTGCTTCATGGTCTCCAGACCCAGGGTGTCTTCACACATTTTCTGATAATGGAGTGAGGCCTCCTTGCTCACATCAGCAGACAAATCCACAATATGTGCAAAGGTCCTGTGGGGGAAAGATGAGAAGGGGGGGGGGGGAAACTAGTTATTTATTTATTTATTGAATTTATATACCGCCCTATCTCCCTTACGGGACTCAGGGCGGTGAACAGGCGATAATAAAAACCACGATAAATATACACGAGTTTCTGTTCTAAAATCAAATTAAATAACAGGCCTGCTCTAAAAGTACCCCCATACAAAACCCCCACTAAAACATAATCAATTATATAGTTGAAGCAATTATATGAACAGACTTCTAATTTCCTCAAAAGAACCTGTGAAAGTAATTAAAACATTAATAGCACGGCTGTTTGAACTGATTTAAATTTCATTTAGTCCAGGTTCAGGCAGTACAGTGCCTAGGGGCACCATTAAATCCTAGATACTATAGCTAGGCTCCCCAGGCGCCTTTGCCTCATCTTTTTAGAAATAAACTTTAATTTACAAGTTAAATAGGAATGTGGCTTGATGCAAAACAAAGCATGAATTATATTAAATGTATTGGTTTTGTGCTGACTTCAATACACACAAAAGTCCTCTTAGGATAGGGACAGGCATCACGGGGGATAGATTATCTTCCAGTACATGGGCATTTTGTAACTTACTATGCCCACCCTGGCGACCATTTCACGTATAGGCAAATCGGCCCTGTCAGTCATTTTATGAGCACATCATCTTCTGCCAGAGTTTCAAATGCATTCCCCTGTGAAAGCATCTCGTAAGGACGATGAACTGAGGGGAGGCCATGGCTAAGCTGTAGAGCAGGGGTCCTCAACCTTGGCAACTTTAAGACTTGTGGACTTCAATTCCCAGAATTCCTCAGCCAGCAAAGCTGGCTGAGGAATTCTGGGAGTTGAAGTCCACAAGTCTTAAAGTTGCCAAGGTTGAGGACCCCTGCTGTAGAGGTTTAGGAGGCCAGTGGAAGGAGAGCAAGTGAAGGAGCCTGACTAGCCAATCTTCTAATAACCACCAGTACTATTTTGGATTACTGCTTACCTGAATTTGTAATTGCTTCAACCTAAATTTTCACTTCAGTCAGTTGAAGGATCATTCTAACTTACCTTAACAAAAAGGTGTGTTTCAACAGAAACTACGGCAGTAAATACATAATAGGGACCTACTATAATGGGAAAAGTCTAAATAGAAGTGGTCTTGTTCTTCAAACATTTCTACTCTCAATAAAAAAGATGGGATTTATGAAACAAGCTATGTTAGCACCATGTGATCATCAATGCATGGATATATTCCGCAACTGAAAAGTGCATAGTTTGTTCTTACACCTTTGTAAGTACCTTGGCAGCTCTGCATCCAGCTTCAAAGACACTTCCTCTAGTTCCTTCATGACATTCAGCGCTTTGGCATTTTCTTCAAAGTTTTGTAGCAGAGCTTCATTCAAAACATTCTGAGCCATAACCAAGCTTTTCTGCAACTCAGCTGTCTCGTAAAAGTCAAAAGATGCAGCTATTAGCTCATACAATATATAATAGTGACGATAAACCTGGATGCTTAGTTTAAACAAGCTTATGAAGGATGACTTTCCGACTCAATAAGACTGGCCTCCATGTAATCCAGTAAGTATTTTTTTTCTTTCAGGCCATTAAAAATAACTCTGTAAAATATCTATACTACTGAATATGTAAGAATAGAATGAGAAAAAAAATAATTATTACATTTTTATCCCAGATTTCAAACAGAGGGCAAAAAGAAGTCAAACAAAAGTTTTGTTATCTATAACAAAACTACAATCTTTTCTTGTCATTATTTTAATAGTAGAAGATATATCGGAGTAAAAGTAGTAAAGGTAGTCCTTGACGTATGTTTATAATTAGAGTAACTTGTGCTGGTTGTTAATAGGTCATCACATGACCAACCCAATTTTACACATATTTCTGACAGTTGTGTGCAATGGGCATTTTTTTTTTTTGCTGGAAACGGGAAATAAACATTGGTTTCCAACAAAAACATAAATCACTGTCATGTGACCATGGGCCACGGCAAATGGCTGTAAATGCAAGCCGGTTGTCGAGCAGTCAAGTTGTGAATACATAACTGGTCCACCCCAGCAGTCAGAACTTCCAATCTGTGTTCATAAGTACCTTTTTGGGGCTTCATTGTAGCTCTAAAGTTGTAAGTCAAGGACTGCCTATAATACCATGTTTCCCCGAAAATACGACCTAGCCATAAAATAAGACCTAGCTTATTTTGGGGGGTTTGGGCTAATATGAGCCCTACCCCAAAAGTGAGCCCTACCTATGACCCTGCCCACTCCGTCCCACCGTAATTTTTTGGCAGGCCGAATCATGTGCCTTCCCCCGCCTTATCTGCTGCCGGTGCCACCACTGTGAGTTCAATTTTGCGGCTCGGCTAAACCAGGGATAGGCAACCTTGGCTCTTTTATGACTCATGGACTTCAACTCCCAGAATTCCTGAGCCAGCCATGCTGAAGGGAAAGGGAGAGGTTTCCAAGCTGAGCCATGCTGGCTCAGGAATTCTGGGAGTTGAAGTCCATGAGTCATAAAAGAGCCAAGGTTGCCTACCCCTGGGCTAAACTGTTCAGCTGTGGCAGGCCACAGTTCCCATCAGCTTCAGGAAGCCTGGGTGATGGAAACCTTAGGCCAGGCTCCTCGCAGCTGAAGCAATCCGGCTCGCCCGGGGTCAGGTTGGCCATCGCGGGAGGCGTGGCCCGTCCCCATCCTCCAGCTTCGCCACACATGCGGGATGAGCCTACTGCGACAGCCAGCTGACCCTGGGTGAGCCAGATTGCTTACAGGGAGAGACTGCGTGTTGCAGGAGGATGACGGCAAAGGGCGTGCACGGATCCCTGCAGCTCCTGGAGGCTCTGCGCGCTGCTTTTTGCACTGCTCAGTTTCCCACCCCACCCCACCCCTGCCAGGCTGCACTACAATGCACTCCAACTCAATAGGTAGCATTACTGATTTCCTGACTAAAAGAAGCAGATAAAATAAATTTGAACAGGGGCTCCTGAAGTGAAAAAAAAATTACTATAAAGGAGCCATCACTGGAAAGGCTCTGTAACACAAACACATTTGCTATTGAGCATTTTTGCAAGCAAAAGGCTCCAGACAGTGTCTTTTAAGAGGCAGCACCAGTTAAAAATACAAGTTAAGAATTGAACGTAAACTACTAAGAACTACTTTGTATATTCATATTCACATTAACACTTGAATTAATTAACCATAGTTATCTAAATTAATCTAATTGCTAAGACCATAGTATTCCAAATTATAAATTAACCATACTGGCTTTCACATAATACACTGAGCCATAAGCTACAAGCTGTTTTAGCCCAGTACAGGTAGTCCTTAACTTGCAACAATTCATTTAGTGACTGTTCGAAGTTACAACAGCACTGAAAGAAATGACTTATAACAATTTTTCACCCGACCACTGCAGCATCCCCATGGTCACATTACCAAAATTCAGACACTTAGCAACTAACTCAAATTTATGATGGCTGCAGTATCCTGAGGCCATGTCATCATCTTTTGCAAACTACTGACAAAGTCAGTGGGGAAGCCAGATTCACAGCAGTGTTACTAACTTAACTGCAGTGATTCATTTAACAACTGTGGCAAAAAAGATTGTAAAATGGGGCAAAACTCACTTAACAAATGTCTCACCTAGCAACAGAAATGTTGGACTCAATTGTGGTCATTAAGTCAAAGACTACCTGTATGTTGCCAAATCTACAAACAAGATAAAAATAACCTAATTCAGAATAAAGTTGTTTCGTATCATTCATATAAGTGGGCATATAATTATATATATAGCTACCTTGAAAGGTGCGATTTCAGTTATTTGAAAATTCATAAGCAATATCTACTGAGATGTCAAAAGACAGGGAATTTTCAAGGTGGGCTTACCACCACAAAAATCTCTCTGTATTGACTAGTGGAAACAGAATGACGTATGCATCACTGCTTCAGACAGGAAGGCGGTGCAGAGAGTGGTGAGAATGGCCGAAAAGATCATTGGCAGTTCCCTCCCTCCCATCCAGGACATAGCACAGAAGCGCTGCTTGAACAGGGTCCGTAAGATTATCTGGGACACTACCCATCCTCTTCACGACCTGTTTTCCTTGTTACCTTCTGAGAGGAGGCTTCATGGTATCCGAAGCAGAACATCCAGATTCAGCCAGAGTTTCATTCCATACAGCATTAACCATTAACTCAAGCTTCCTCCTTTCGTTATATATTCAAGATGGACAATATTTAATATTTATTTGCTACGCATATGTAGGGATGTGGGTCTATACATATGTTCATAATATGTTTAAGTGTGTCATGTATGTGTTTCACTTTGAGAGCGGGCAACTAAATTTCATTTTTGATGTGTGCCATTGTGCCCACAGTATAAAAATGACAATAAAGGTTATCTTAGCTTATAAGTAAGATTTTCATGGGCTGTATAATGTTGTATAACTTTTACAAAGTTTCATGTCTTTTTTTTTACAATATTGGATTGTCAACGGGTTCAAAACTTCTGTTAGCATGAGGTTCACTACTATCTTAGTAATAAAATATTCTAAGTCATCAGTAATAGAATTCAAGATGCACATGAATTCATATATATACAGGACCCATTCAAAAAATTCTCGAACACAAAAACATTTCCTAACAGACCATAGTCAGCTGTTAAGGCTAATTCATAAGCCAAAGATTGGCCATCTGATTGATAATATCATGATGACATTTCTGTACCTAGATATTGTCCCATGTCTTCTTCTGTGTAGATGTCCTTCATGGGCAGTTCATGCCTAGTTGTGTCCAGGGCAGTGGCAAAGTGCTTATAGTCCTCCCTAAACTGTGGACATTGTTCAGAAACAGGTTCAAGTATTTCAAGCTGGAAACCAAGTGTGTGGAGCAGGGGAAAAAGAGAGAGATTATGATTAGTCACCGGAGGCAAACGATCTGAGAACTGTGCATAGTTCCCCACAATATTTTTTAGCAATAAATGTCACTGCAACTGTGTAGGTAATTCTTTGACCTATGACCATTTGAAGTTACGATGATGCTGAATGAATGGTGGTTATGCTCAGTCCTCGGAGTTCTGACTATCCTGCCCCACCCCATGATTGCAATTTAGGCATTTGGCAATTGGTTCACACCTAACAACCAGTTGCAGTGTCCTGAAATATGATAACCCTCTGCAACCTTCCCTGATGGCTTCCCTATAGACTTTCTGGGGAAGCCAGCAGGGAAGGTTGCAAATTACTGAGATAAGTCTTCCCCACCCTTCCTCCAGTTCCTCTGTGCTTCTGCGATGCCAGCCACTTGTACACCTTCCCTGACCCTCACCATGCTTCCCTTGCAACTTCCTGATCCTCTCACACATACCCTGGCACATTCTCCCCAACCCCTACCTCTTGTGCACATCCTCATGCACCTTTCTTGACTAGGGCCTCTTCCACATACTTTTGCATCTTTGTGCATCCTCCCTAACACACATCTCTCACACACCTCACACTCTCATATACCCTACCCAACCCTGCAGGGGTTGCCGTGCTAAGCAATAGCAGCACACTTTTATGACTGCAAATGTTAGTGATGGAAATTCCAGTCCAATTGCTGTTGTTGGCTGAAGACTATAGCAGGGAAAAGGTACCTTGCTTATTACTTCAGCAGCAAGAACGTCTCCCTACTAACTGGGTGAATGATACTAGTTTTCGTAATAGCTATGATATGTAGTGTTTTGAATTCTCCTAGGGAAACACTTCCTGTTTAATCATTGCATTGGCTTGAAATAGTCATAAACCCAGAGGTAGAACCAAGGTCATTTAGCTGAATCTACCACTGATAATGTAAAATGTTCCTTTAACAATCCTGGCTCAACAACTTTGAGGACTATTAAGTTTCTAAATGAATATCTATGGTAAACAAGAATTCTATCTCCCAGATAGTTGTTCCATTTTTAAATAGCACCTATCACTAGGACAGCTTTCCCCAGTTTGATGCCTTCTCCAGAAATATTAAATTTCAAACTTCCTAATTAGTTGAGATATATCTATTAAAAGACAAAAAAGTGGAACTTAATTAAACCAAAGGGACTATTGTATCTATATTTGAACAGAAAGTAACACTTAAGTATTTATTTATTACATGACTAAGGGCCAGCTTAATGAAAAAAAATCATACTAGAATGATTGTTCATATACCAACATGACTAATGAAAGGATTGCGCTTGAACAGGAAAACAGACTATCACAGATGACCGTAGCATGACAGAGAAGATTAAAAGATCAAAATGATAAAAACATTAATTCTGATGAAGATATTATGGAATATTGTTATCTGAAGATATTATTCCAGAGATCAAAAGAAAACAAGTTGATCCAGTGTCTCCCATTTAAATAAGGAGTAAAATGGTAACAATATCTAGATCAGGGGTGTCAAACTGCTGGCCTGTGGGCAGGATGCATCATAGCGAAACCGCGCCCAGTCCATTGCTGGCAATGGGAAAAAAGTCACAACACGTCGCGTGACATTGCGAGTTTGACACCCCTGATCTAGATAAAATGTATTAAAAATTGCTGATCATAGTTCAGCACATTGAATAATAAGTATAAGGGCCAAAATTGGATAACCCAATTCTTCATTATGGAGATTCTCAGTCATCCAGGCCAAGGTTGTCCCAAAGATGCTTTTTCAGGAGGCAACTGGACTTTCTTTTTTCTCTTTGAAGACGTTTCTCTTCTCATCCAAGAAGATTCTGCCATCTTTCAACTTTCTCTTTTACAACATTCCTAACATCAGTTTTTTAATCTCAACAGGTGAGAAGCATGAGTGGTCAACAGTTCTTATACCTGCATTTTGGACCATGTTCCTATACACTCTGCTCTTTCAATTATTCTTAAAACTAATTAGGGACAAAATTCAGGATTATACATCTAATGTATTGTATTTTTGCTAATGTGAAGTGCCTGAAAGAGTACTGGGAAGGAAAACCAAACCATCCCAAAAAGATTGATTCAGAAATATGCATAAATTCTGGATGTTAGGATCTAGAGACTAATAAAATTGGCTTAGGGCAGGAGTAGGCAACCTTGGCTCTTTTATGACTCGTGGACTTCAACTCCCAGAATTCCTGAGCCAGCCATGCTTAGTGCCATGGTCTTGTCCCTATTGATAAAGTAGGATGGGAACTGAAATTTGGCACATCTAGAAGTCTCCAAAGATTGCACTACATTCGATGTTTTGCCAAAAATGTGTTTTATTCAGGTTTCATCTACAGGTTCACATTTAGCCTTCGGAAACAAAGGAGAACATGATTGCCCCAACTTTGGCATGGTACCCTGCATTTATTTCAAACCTGGGCAAAATGTTTGAAGTAACATTTTTTCTTAGGCAAAACATTTCTTTTTCATCTCTTTCAACTGTTATTTGTAAAACTGGATTCCCTATTGATACATTTTATAATGTATTTTATTACTGTTAGTTTCTGTGGTAAGGTATGTGGATTTCCATCTCTTCTGCAAACAAACAATTTCCATCTTTTGTGCAAAGATGGTTTATAAACACAATAACTGGCTGCATCTCCTTGGGCCCACACCACAACTCAGCTTGCTTACAGAAGCCATGGACTATCAGACCAGAGTTTTGAAGTGTTACCATTTTTTCTCTCCTCACATTTGGAGATCAGCACAAAGACCCCCAGTTACTAAAAATCAATCCTATTCTTCAACTATTCTTAGTCATTTTTTTTTTACTTCTGCTCTATTTTCTTACAAGTCTGTTTCTTAGTTTTGTTCTAGATTTAATCTCTACAGATGGTTTTCATTTAAAGTACCGTTGTTTAGCAACAGAACTTACAACAGTATTGAACGATGGTGGTTATAACCAGTCCTTGTAGTTACGGCAGTTGCAGCATCCCATGGTCACATGATTTTGATTTGCAACTTTCCCCACTTACTTCTGACAAGCAAAGTCAATGGGGAAGCCAGCAGGAAGTCATAACTCAGTCAGGTGAGGCCCTTGCTTAATGACAGCAAACAGAACTGTTAACGCTAAGCAGTGCAATCAACCTATTTTCCAATTTATGACATGTCACTTAATGACAGAATTTCTGATACCTATTAGATTTGGTAAGCAAGGTTACCCCCTATATTAATTTTAATGTGGATAAAGCAATTTAGCTATTAGCAAGTTAGTAAAAGCCCTCAAAAATAATGAAAGAAACCTAAATAATATGAATTGACAGAAGTCCAGAATAGAAAAAAGGGGAGGCACCTGTATTCATTATGCCTGAAATACAATGTAATAACAATGTATTATCTATCCATTTATAGAAAAGTCATTTAATTAGGAAAGCTTTATATACTTTCCAAATCCAAGCTTTGCTTAGGAAGCCATCGGTAGATATTTGGTAGGCATTTTACATTAATTTTGGTGTTTTCAATCTATTCAACATATATTATATAAAACTAAGCAAACCTGTTTCTCTAATGCTTCAAAGAGCTCCGTCTCTTTCTTCAGATGCTGCAGTTTAAGCTTCTTTTCATGTACATTCTTCTGTAGTTTCCCCGCTTCCTCACAGAGCATTAACAAGTTTCTTTCAGCTTTCCCCTCCAGATGGACAAGGTTCTTCTCCATCTGTTACAATAGAGCGTCTCTAGATTCAAAACTATTTCAAACTGTTTCCAAAACATGCGTTTAATTTTTCTTTAAGGACATCTTGTATTTGGGCAGTTGAGTTATTACCTTTATGGAGGCATAAGTTAACAGCAGCATCTGAGAGTCCAGCATCCCAATCAGATCATCTGAATCAGAGGATGTCTAATAAAGAAACAGAGATATTGTTTGAAGTGGGTAGACCAAAAAGTGGTCACACAATTATTTTCCAATGGCTCCAGAGAAGGAAACTCAGGTCAACCCCATGGTAGATATGTCATTACTGATTCTTCAGGATTAGGAAGATTAGCAAATGAAGTTTTAGCCCAAGAATCCAGCTGTTTCTCTTATCTGTTGGGTCACCTAATGTAGCATATAATTGCCCATTCTGGGTTCAAATATCCCTCCCTCAAAATTTCTTATTAGAGATACTGAATAATCATCCTTGCAGTTAATGTGATTATGAAAATAACAAAACAGAGGTATTACAATAGGGATATTGTAGTATGAACATAATTGCCCTTTGCTGCTGCTTTCTGGTCTTCCAAATGGTTTTCAAGGCAGCTCCCATACAGAGTGCTCTACAATAGTCCAAATCCAGTTAAGCATCTAGGTTAGTGGCCAATATAACTTACTATAGCCCTATTTCTCCTCATGAATTACGCTGAATAAATTCCTCACATAGCACCAAGTAACTGAAGGCATCTCTAGAAAGGACGCTAAAGGAGATAATGTCTGCCATTATCACAAACACAGTGGAAATTGGTATATGAGAGCTCAGGCCCAGGAAATAATTCATCTTATTCCAGTATCAAAAGATGCCACAGGAGGTCTCAGAACACAATCCCTATTGCTCAGAATTACTTATTCAAAGTTCACTTTGTAGCCCACAATTAAGTTGCTTTACTTACCAAGACCAGCTTTTTTTTGGAAGTGCCTTTTATATGGAGCTTTGAAACTGGTGTTTTATAGCGGCTTTTTTCTGAAAGTAAAAAGGCAATCAAAGACAGTTAGGTAAAGGAAAGAGATCGGTTACTTATATCCTAATATTTTTCAGGTACTTACTTAGAATCTATGGGTAGAAAATTTTGTTTTAAAAAATGTTGAAAACAAAAATGACATATAATAAACTGCTTCTTTGGCATTTTAACAACATAGAGGGAATGCCAACAAACACTGATGTTCCATTCTGTACAGTAAGCTCTGTTTACAGAAATCCTTTCTCCTAACCTTGATTAAAAAGGAATAGGAACCATCAAATCTTTTCTCTGAAAGCACGAAGATGGAGATGCAAATAAAGGATATGAACTGGATCCATATTGCCAATTGTAATTAAAGGCAAAACTCAGGGATGCAAAGTCATGTTAGATAGCGGTGGCTAAATAACAAAAGCAAATATTAATTGATCCAAACAGCTCATTTGGATTTGATCGACTCATTCTGTTTAAAAAATCTTGATGTGGCATTAAAATATGTAATCTTGAGTGCTTGTAATTCAATTTAAAAATAGATTTTTGTATAATTTTTGGAATAAAATCATAAGCCTATTTTATTGCTACTAAACTTACATTCAAGTAGCGCACATACCATTAATAGCTGAAACCTCCAATTCAGGTCGAGTACTCTCATGGCTATCCAGAAAGGTTGAATGTAATATACTAGGTGTACTTTCTGCAGAAAAAAAGAGTGAAGAAGAGGTTTTTCCTTTGGGATTCCAATTATTTTAATTAGCTCGAGGTAAGGAACCTATTTTTGACCAAAGAGTTGAACTCACTCAAAGAAAGTTGGGTTTGTATCCTAGCAGTGGAATGACTATTGATTCAAGTGGACATTGACACCCTGTACACCAGATGACTTTTAATACTTTTTCACACATACCCCCATATTCTGTCTTTCTCTTTCAGGCACATATATCCATTAGCATCTGTTTTAATAGGGTTTAGACTATTTTAAAGCCTACTGCTATTAACGTATACATTTCAAGGGGCTCAGAAGGAATTATAAATGTTATTAGTACCTTTCGTTAAAAAAATCCTGGAATTAAGCTTTAAAAGAAGTTCCACTGAAATGATGTCATAGAGTGATGTTTCAAGTAAGGATTGCGGAATTAGATACAGTCCCCACAATATTCCTCTCTAAAAGCTACCATACATTGCAATGAAGTTTTACATTAGCTCCTACTGCCCACAATCAAAACTGATCTAAATCCTAAAAGGCGAGTACTTCCTCAGAGATAAGATAACCAGGAGGCCAAGGAAAGGTGTAGAGCAGTTCATAGGTTGAACAGGCCCTTACTAAATGCATCCAGGACAAAAAGAGAATCTCTGCAGGCTAGAAGCCTAAAGAAAGAGAATCCAATGTCCAAATGAACAATTTTCAAATATGTTCAAAAATGAATTTTGGGATTTTATATAAACCCTTACTAGGTGGAATATTATGTTCATCTTGTACTGTTGCCAAAACGTTGCCATCAGGAGCTTTCCCCATATTTCTTCAGTTACAATAGTAATAACGGCAGACAAGCTTTCCTATATAGCCAACTCTGCAATAGAATTCTGAACCTATATCCATGGCTGAAGGACCACAGGGTAGCTAAATGTTCTTCAGATGGTTTCTCTGAATATTCCACAGCTGCCTGGATTCTAGAAAGTGCAAACTGTAGACATTTGGTAAAAAAATGCAGGGAACACTTCTGGATTGTGTAAAGTGAAAACTTACCTATTGAAGTCTTGAATTTTTGAAGCTGAACAGGTCTCTTTGGAGATCCAACATTTCCTAGACCTTTTCCAATGGAGAAGCTGGTGCTTGAGGTGCCCTGCCAGTTAAATACATTCATGTTGAAACTAAACAATTCAGTCTTATTTGATTGCTGTTGTTTGGGAATAATAATAATAATAATAATAATAATAATATTCTCCTTAGTTCTAGGTTGCTTCTCTCCTTGATTAGTTTCCATCCGTTGCTTCTTGTCCTGCCTTCAGGCGCTTTGGAAAATAGCTTGACTCCCTCTTCTTTGTGGCAGCCCCTGAGATATTGGAACACTGCTATCATGTCCCCCCTCGTCCTTCTCTTCATTAAACTAGACATACCCAATTCCAGCAACCGGTCCTTATATGTTTTAACCTCCAGTCCCCTAATCATCTTTGTTGCTCTTCTCTGTACTCTTTCTAGAGTCTCAGCATCTTTTTTACATCGTGGTGACCAAAACTGGATGCAGTATTCCAAGTGTGGCCTTACCAAGGCATTGTAGAGTGGTATTAATACTACTTTCTTAACACAAAGAAAGCAGCAATTTGAAATTTTCATTTAAAAAAAATTAGCAGACAGGCCAGAAACTAAAGTAACTCTCCATAAAGCCATAGAACAGTGTTTTTCATACCGGCTGGAGAATTTGGGATGTTGAAATCCACACATCTCAAATTGCCAAGTTTAAAAAAATCACTGCTATAGAGCAATGTGTTTCTAAGTTTAGACTCACCTTTCCACTTGTTTTTTTATCATACTGCAGGTAACGAGAAGGCACAATTCTTCCCCCTGACAGAGGAAAAATGGAAAGAGAACCAATGAGAGCAAATTTACATTCGTATCATTATTAACCACGAGACAAGCAGCTTTCCCAGAGACTCCCCGACTCTTTATGGAACAATGCTGAGACCAAGCACTCGACTCCACAGAAAGACTCCTGTGCAAAGCTCTGATATTAAGCTCCGACAGCTTGTGCAGTGGATCAGCTGCTGGTTTTGGACCATGAAATCTACTCTCCGATGCCATTACTCACCTCTCTGTTTCGGTCGGGCACCCGTTTCCATCTCAGTCGTCCCAGGCTCCCTAGAAAGATAAATTAACTTGGGTGAAAGGAAAATCAAAACCCAAACTATCCATCCCTCTCTCCACCCTCTTACCCGCCGAGCGGCGCCTTTCCCGCCATTTCCGTCGAACAAACTCACGACTTTCCCACCCATCAAACAAATAAGCTTCGGCGCATGCGCCCTGGAGCCCAGTTGGAAGGGACGGCCTGAGCCATCCGAAAGGCGGAAGCACGGAAACTAGAGCGTCTCACTTTCAGGGAGCGTCTCGGTTCATTCATTTCTCTTGTCACTTCATTTCGTAGCGGAAAATTCTCACTTCCGGCTCACTCAGGTTTTCGGTCGGCGGCCAGACTTGACGCATGCGCAGAGCACTGTTCTGTTTTTATTAACTTTTCCATTTATTTCCCAAGGCAAATAGCGGGACTGGCTTAGCCGTTTTAATTATTAAACCCATTCTGTGAGTCCCTGTAGCCCCCACCAGTGGGGATCGAACCTACTTCCGCTCTAGTAGCTGTAATAGACTGGTAAGCTCGTACATGTGACTCGCTGTTGCTTCATGCCGGCCGGTTTCGTCCTTGGCTCTTCCGCCGTTGCAAAAAGCGCAACGCTCGACTGAGATTGGTGAGTAGCCCCAACAAAGCCTAACCTATTGGGACAAGGGTTCAATCAAGATCTCCCTAATCTTCTCTCCCTTTGGTGAGGAGCTGCATGGTGCCCGGGCTCAGTCTCGGGACGTTTGGGCAAAGTCCGTATTAGTTCCAGAAAGGTGGAGAGGGGTTGTCGCTGGCCACGGGCAGGTTCTTCTTCATAGGTGCATGTTTCCTCTCGCTCAGTGGAAAAAGTTGTCCCTTTGGGCATGAGCAGAGTGCACCCGGGTGCTTGTGTCCCAAAATATACAATGAGGGTCTTATTCACAAAACCGGGGTACCTTCCCCGTTATTGTCTACTGCAGTGTTTTTTAAACTTATTTCTCCCAGGGCCCCTTTTAAAAATTAAAGAGAATCCCAAAAGAGCTTTTGTTTCTATTTATTGGTATTTGTCATATCGGGGAGAGATGGGCAGTAAACAAATAATAAAATATATTAAAATTTTAAACTGATGCATTGGCTGTCCTGACTGCTTCGCTATTCTTTGATGAGATTTTAATAATGTAATTTTTCAACATAGTTGGCAAATAATTTTGATTTTAAGGACCTTGAGAGGACCTTGGGGATCCTTAGAGGTCCTAGGTCTACACCTTCAGAAACTTTGGTCTATTGGAATTTATAATCTCCTGTAATGATGTAACAAGTGCTCCAAAATCTGAAACAGTGTCCAGGAAGGTCTATACATTGTAACAAGATTAAATTGCAACAGCATAGCTCAATTTGAAAAGTAGGAGTGGAGATTGGAAAGCATGGGATGAATCCTTTCTTTGCTGTACAGCAAGTGGGGGCTCAGGAGATGTTGCTTCACCTAGCACTCCCCAGAGGGAAAACTCTATGTATTGGTTTTACCTAAATTGTCTACAGGTGTCAACAGCATACAGGTAGTCCTTGTTTAGCAACCACAATTGGGACTGACAACTCAAGCGCCGAGTCAAATCACAACTGTGCATATGATCTTACTTAAACGTTCCTTTGCTTTACAAACCTGTCAGGGTCGTTCGTAAATGTGAAGACTGGTCATCAAGTTACTTTTTCTTCACTGCTGTAACTGTGAACAATCGCTCAATGAGGACTACTTAGTGCCTTTGGCACTTAGAAGGAAATCAGTCTTCAGGGAGCCCTACTCTTAATCCTTTTATTCAAAACAAATCCTTCGGGGGATTTAATTCAGGGAAAATGCATAGAATTACTTAAAGTGTGGAGTGAATGGGTAACAGACAGAAATGTGCTTGGCCCTCAGAAGCATGCTTTTCATTTTGTTTTCCTTCTACAGTTCCCTTTCACCTCATTCTTGGAGAGCAGCCATGCTTGCTCATGGCAGACGAATTTTCTCTGGACTTTCTGTCTATTGGAAGCCTCTCTTCAGAGGCCGCCTCCTGCTGGTCACCAATACAGTCAGCTGTGGGGGGCTTCTAGCGACAGGAGACGCATTTCGCCAATCCTGGGAGATAAAGAAGGACTCTAAACAAAAATGGGATCGTGCACGGACAGGTCAGTTTATGTCATGTTAACTGCTGGCTTTAACCTTTAAAATGTTTCATGGCTTGACCTTGAGATATCTCTAGGACAATGATGGCGAACCTTTTAGAGACCGAGTGCCCAAACTGCAACCCAAAACCCACTTATGCATCTTTGGGTGCCGGGTGGGTGTGGCCCATTGGCTGGGCGTGGCCATGGTGGTAATGGCAGACTGGGTGGGACTAAAAAGTTCAATCAATCAATTCCAACTTTGAAAGATCTTTTTTTTTCCCCACGAGAAGTTGAAATTGATTGATTGAATCTTTTTTTTTTTTGTACACGGCGGCGGAGGCCTAAAGCGAAAAGGTTTTATAAAACCCATCTGAAGGCCTAGGACTGGGGCGATGCTGCGCGTGCCCACAGAGAGGGCTCTGAGTGCCGCCTCTGGCACCCGTGCCATAGGTTCGCCACCACTGCTCTAGGAAATCTCCACTCAATCTGTTTGAATGAAGAGCTCTCCAGAAAAATCTATTACTAGTCCCCATTTCCAGGAAATTAGGAGGCTGAAGGCTTGAAATGTTTTTCTGTAGTAGCAGGACTGATATGGAACTTCCTGGCCCCTGAATTCTGCTGAATGCCTACCTTGCTGGGTCTCAGGACATTTTTATTTATTGATTCAATTAAGGTAAAAAGGGAGTTTTTATTCCATTTGTGTTGCCACTTGTCTTACATTTATGAGTCTGGGTAGCTCACATAATTAAAAGCAGCCCTCACAAACAATAAAAAGAATACAAATGAGAACAAATTAAAAAAAGAGTTAAAGAAACATAAATAGCGGGAAAGTACAAGTCAACCATCTAGCAGGCTTCACACCACAATTGGCTCCCCAAGTACAAAACCATGTCTTCGGAGCCCTTCAAAAGGCAAGTAGGATTGGAGCCAGTCTAGCCTCCATGGGGGGGGGGATGTTGCTCCAAAGGCTGGGTGCCATGGCAGAAAAGGCTCTCCTCCTGGGTCCCACCAAATGGCATTCCTTAATATATAGGACAGTGATGGCGAACCTTTTAGAGACCGAGTGCCTCAAAACTGCCCCTGCCCTGCTCCACCCCCTGCCCCGCCCGTTCTGCCCCCCATCCCCCACCCCACCTACCCGCAGGGCAACTCACTGCCTCCAGGGCCCGCCACAGATCGCCCAGACAGCCCAGCAATGCTATGGCGGTCACGCCCTCTGCCTGTGCCCTGCAGCATCAACTGTGCATGATGGGGTGTGAGGGCAGAGTCTTGTCTATGGTGCCTGGCTGCCATGTCCTTGGCTCCGCTGCTCCGCGTGGGCCACACTCAGGGGCGACTATCCTTCAGGGGGGCTGCTGGAGAGGAGGCGGTCGCGGGGGAAGGCAAGGCTGGGGCAACGGCACGTGTGCCCACAGAGAGGGCTCCGAGTGCCGCCTCTGGCACCCATGCCATAGGTTCGCCACCACTAATATAGGACCTATAATATATCTCTTCTGCTGAATTAGATGGGATGGGCAGATGCAAGTGGGGAGAATTTGTTTAAGATGGCCTTTTAGATGCAATCTTCTGTTTTTATCACTTTTTGATTGATTGTTTTATTATTTTATCCATACAGCAATTACTGTGATGTAAAATTATTTGTACCGTGGATGTTTTATTGTTGAAACTGTAATTGGCTGATCTCCCAATTGGGATGGGCATGAGATAAAGCTGTATTCTTTTGGTGTAAAATTTAAGTATCATTACTAAATAAAGAATTTAATGCTTTTCAAATTAGGCTGTTTTCGTTTATTTACAGGTCTGAATCTCAAGCAGTCCTGTAAGGAACTTATTATTTACTTAATTTTAGCTGCTAAAATTATAATCGCCCAATAGATAACATAATAAATGAGTTGTGGAATAATAAGGCCTCTTCAGTTAGCTACATTGGGGGGGAGGGGAAACACAGAGTTAAAATAATTAAACATCAGAGGCAGATTCGCAATTCAAATTTAGATGGTTTAAAATTTATATAGTTTTATAGTAAATAGCTTTAAAGGTTTTATAGTAAATCGCTGTACACTATAACATGGCAATTCGTTAGATATATGGTAAATTTGTAAATTTGTGTCTCTAATGGTAGTCCTCGGCTTACGACAATTAAGCCCAACATTTCCATTGCTAAGCAAGATCATTGTTAAGTAAGTCGCATCCCATTTTACAACCTTTTTTGCTATCATTGTGAAGAGAATCATAGCAGTTGCTAAGTGAATCATGTGGTCATTAAGCGAAGCTGGCTTCCCACAATGTGTTTGCTTGTCAGAAACTGGCTGAGAAGGTCATAAATGGTGATCACGTAACCCTGGGACAGTGCAAATGTCATAAATATATATTACTTGCCAAGCGCCCAAATTTTGATCTTGACCATGAGGATACTGCAATGGTGATAAGTGTGAAAACCAGTATAAGTCACTTTTTTCAGTGCTGTTATAACTTTGAACGATCACTAAATGAATGATTATAAGTCAAGGATTACCTATATTTTGTAGTAGATTTTTTTTTTGTATTTTCTCTTATTTATGCATCATGGATTTTTGTTATTTAGTTATTTGATGATGGTTCCTTTGTGTTTTGCTAATGGAGCAAATTTCCTCCTTCAGCACGAATGTTCACCATCGGCTGCACTATGGGTCCAATGCTGCACTACTGGTACCTGTGGCTAGACAGGGCCTTGCCTGCTGCTGGCTTCAGCGGCATCAGGACCGTCCTGAAAAAAGTTCTCATTGATCAGATCGTTGCCTCTCCAGTCTTTGGAGTTTGGTATTTCATAGGTAAGACTAAATCCATAAAACTGCGGGACAGTTTCTATTCTATGGAGGGCAAAAATGAATGGATCATAGATGGGAAAATATATGGGCTTTTGCTACAGATCTTGTGTGGGGGTAGCAGAAGTAGAGGGTGTGGCATTTCTGTTGTCCCTTCTGTGCTTGGCTTCCTCTGAATAACATACAGTTCCTTTAGTTCCCTGTTGCCAAAGAACATCCCTCACATTTCCATCTGCCTTGTTATTATCTGCAGGGATTGGATCTTTGGAAGGACAGACTCTGGAGCAAAGCTGGCATGAACTGGAGGAGAACTTTTGGGAATTCTACAAGGTAGACTTAGTTTTTGTTCCCTACTTTCTGACCCAGAGTTTGTGGATGGAGTAACTAACTTAGTTTTTTTCATTTGCAGATGGACTGGTGTGTGTGGCCACCAACACAGCTGATCAATTTTCTGTTCCTGCCACCCAAGTATCGAGTGATTTACATGAATGTCATCACTCTAGGATGGGACACTTACCTATCATACCTTAAATTTCGTGTGAGTAGGGCTCACTAAAATAATTGGCATCCTCAACTTACAACAGTTTGTTTAGTGACAGTTCAAAGTTACAATGGCACTGAAAAAGAGTGACTTATGACCGTTGCAGCATCCCCATGGCCATGTGATCAAAATTCAGACACATAGTAACTGACTCATATTTATGACGGTTGCGCTATCCTGGGCTCATGTGATCGTTTTGTGACCTTGTGAAAAGCAAAGTCAATGGGGGAATCCAGATTCAGTTAACCGTTACTAACTTAACAACTGCAGTGATTCACTTAACAACTGAGGCAAGAAAGGTTGTAAAATGGGGCAAAATTCACTTAACAAATGTCTCACTTAGCAACAGAAATTTTGGGCTCAATTGTGGCCATAAGTCAAGGACTACCTGTAATTCTGGAAAGTAAAGTTGTGTTGAGTAAGCCCTTTTTCCTAGCCTTTTTTTAACCATGGCTGCTAACAAGTGAATCTGAGCCTCTCTGTGTTCAATTCCTCTGTTCTACTATTAAGCAACATCCTCAAAAGGAATAGGTATCACTGGTTATGTTGGGGTGACCTGTTAACTGGGCACAATTGGTCTTCCTCTGATAATCTCTGAAAACATAACATGTTCCTCAGCATCTCCATCCCCATTTTAGTGGCATGTTTTGTTTCGCTTAGAACAGCGGTTCTCAACCTATGGGTCGCGACCCCATTTGGGGTTGATTGACCATTTCACGGGGGTTGCCAAGCAAGGCTGTCTGCCATTTTTTTCCCCTTTTCCGGCGGGTGCCTTACCTCCCTTGGGCTGGGCCAGCTGGTGGTCGGCCTGCTCCGTCTCTGCCGCTTGCCAGCTACGCCTCGGCCGGCACAGGGGGCGGAACCACACATGCGCGGTGCTCCCGGGCAGGGAAAGTCCTCGACTTACGACCGGTTGGGTAGTCCTCGACTTACGACCGGTTTAGTCCTCGACTTACGACCGGTTGGGGGTTTGCGGCATTAAAAAGGTTGAGAACCACTGGCTTAGAATGTTGTGTAAGCACAAATACAGGTAGTCCTTTGACTTACCACAATTGGGACCAGAATTTCCATTGCTAAAGCAGTTGTTCAGTGAGTCACGCCCATTTTTGCCATGGCTGTTAAGCAAATCACTGCAGTTGTTAAGTAAAATGATGAGGTCATTAAGAGAATTTGGCTTCCCCTCCGTTGAGTTTGCTTGTTGGAAACCGGCTGGGAAGAACATTTGCCATCTGCCCAAATTTTGATCACGTGAACATGGGGATATTATTTTTAACCAGTAATTATTTATTCAACAAAGTAAGATTTAACTAAGTGGCTGGTGTGAACCTGTTCCCTGGTAAGGATTCCTGCACTATTCAGTAGTTTTCTGTAAAAGACTTATTCATAGATTGAATTTCAGAAATCAAAAACTTCAAGTTTATAAAGCTAAATGTATGCTCACTTTTTTTTGTTCTGTTTAGAATAAAAAGCCAACGCTCAGCCAGGATGAAGACTCTAAACCTTGCGCTTCTGAGATCCAAACTACTGGATGAAACGTGTGAATAACCAAACTACTCTTTTAAAACTTGAAGAAATCCGGCATCTTGTTTTGAAAAAACAAAAACAAAACACTACATTCTTCTATGTAGGAAATGGTGCCTGAATGATTCTGTTTTCTGCAAGCAGTTCTGATTTTCCTTGCCAAAAACTCTGTAAAAAGAACAAGACTGAAAGCTCAGAGCACTTTTCCTCTGATAGCCTGGTGTGCGTTGAAGCAGCGACCAGCATCTAGCAGAAGTGCTATCCCTTTAAAAGTACCAAAGTATAAATTTTCCTTATTTATTTATTAATTTTGTATCGCCTCAACCTCATGATTTTGGATGGTGTGCAAGAATCTCAATAATGATCTTAAAATCAGTTGTGTGTCAACAAAAATAATTATGGACAAAGAAAATATGACCACCTCCTCCTTCTCCACTAAGCCTGAAAGGAATAAGGAAAGTTTTCCAGAGCTTCCTAAAAGCCAAAAAGGAAGACATCGAGTGTATTTCCAGGGAAGGTGTATTCCATGGCTGGCTGGGGAATTCTGGGAGCTGAAGTCCACCCATCTTCAAGTTGCCAAGGTTGAGAAACACTGCCATAGAGGTGTGGCCATATTTGAGAACTGTTGATTGACTTTGGATGGTTTGAATTAGCAACTCAGTTCATTCTTTGGAGTATGAATGCACCTGTTTTGAAAATAGTAACTATTTAGATAACAGGAGAGTCGGACAAGCTATGAAAGGGAGAAGTAAAAATGGGGGGAAAAGGGAAATTCATCTTGGTACCTGTAAATCTAGAGCATCCTTTACAGAACATGCTGTGAGAGGGGGTGGATTTGGGCTATAAGTCTATAAATTTAATGAATATATCTAAAAAATAACAAACAAGCTTCAGAGTAACTTCATCCCACGATTGTGTTGAAAGTTCAAATATGGGGAACAAGCTTATGTCCTTATTGTTATGCTGACAAGCAGTGCTACAGAAGGTAGAATAAAAAAAAAACGGAGTGAGTGACCTAATGACTCTAAAGCAGGGGAGTTTTCTAATTCCTTATTTTTTCCTTCAGTGGATTTGAGGAACACATCAGGGGAATGTTTGCTTACAATATATCCAGCCTTTTATTGAAGTTATTCTAGATCTTATGTACCATATTTGCTGCATAGGCAGATCAAGCTACCAGGAGTGATTATGTGGAACTTTAGAGTTGCCGTAAATATGATGATATCTATGGAGATTCTCAATCATCCAGGTCATGGTTGTCCCAAAAGTGCATTTTCCAAAAGGCAACTGGACTTTCTTGGTTTTTTTCTTTTTCTTTGAAATGTTTTGCTTCTCATCCAAGAACTGAAGTAGCTTCTTGGATGAGAAGTGAAATGTTTTCAAAGAACACCCCCCCCCGAAGAAAGTCCAGTTGCCTTTTGGAAAAAGCACCTTTGGGATAAATATGCCGATGATACCTAGTTCTCTGTATCTTGCCACTCAACCTCAGAGAAATAGCATGGACCCTTGAAGATTGCAGGGTCCTTGGTGCTCTCTGAGCTTGGCAGTTTTCATCAGTGCACTGATGATGTTATCTAGTTTGGTAATGAAATGTCTGCAAGAAAACCAAGCTCAAAGAGCAGCAAGGACTCTGCAGTTCAACCTTGAACTACAAATATTCTCTTCCATTGGTACATTTGAAGATGGCCAGCCCTAGCCAGTAGTGGACTGGATGAGAGAGAATAAACTGAATACAGAAGAGATCGTTGTGCTATGGGTCAATAAGAAATACTGTTACAGTATTGTGATTTAGACCGGGCTGGATGATTCTGCATTCCTTCCAGCAGGTCTACAGGTTGTGTGTGATCCCCAGGAGACTGTCCAGAGAAATCAGTGGTAAAAGATGCATCCCCACAATCATGCTAAACGTATCAGTTGCAATTGCTTGTTGGCCAGCTGGATTTGGCAACAGTTCTCTGCAGTTTTGTTGTATCTCATCTGCTATACAGGTAGTCCTCACCTTACATCCATTCATTTAGTGACTGTTCGAAGTTACAACACCATTGAAAAAAGTGAGTTTGGATGTTTTTCACATTTACGACCACTGCAGCATCCCCGTGTCATGTGATCAAAACTCAGACAACTTGGCAACTGACTCGTATTTTTGAGATTTGCAGTGTTCTGGGGGGGGTTCATGTGATCCCCTTTTGTGACCTTCTGACAAGCAAAGTCAATGGGGGAAGCCAGATTCACTTAACAACCGTGTTACTAATTTAACAACTGTAGCTATTCACTTAACAACTGTGGCAATAAAAGTCAGAAAATGGGTCAAAATTCACTTAACTCTCGCTTAGCAGTGGAACCTTTGGTCTCCATTGTGGTTGTAAGTCGAGGACTATCTGTATTTAGAGGTCACCTGAAAAAGTTAATAAGATTTTAAAAATGATTTTGTAAATAGCCACCTGCAAGGTCCTGTTCCATCAATGAACAGAAAATCTCTACACTAATATATTTGGGGATAAATGTATTCTAAATCGGAAATTGTTCAGTTGCTGATATTATTGTACCTGTCTCTTTCCTTTCATTAAATCTTACTAAAATCTGTCACAATCTTACTTGCAATAATTATTTTTGGTTGAGGCAACTGTCGAAGAACTGACCCAGGGGAATTTCAAGCTCTCACTATTTTCACTCTCCAATTCCTCCAAAGCAGTTTGAAACAAACCTGCAATTTGCTTTGATAACCAGCCAAACCTAGGAGATACATGCACAGATCATAAATCAATCAGTACCTTCAACTTACCCATCATTTTGTTCCACCAATCAGTCATTTCTGGCTCTTGAGGAACATCATTTTAGCAGCAGTTGAATATTCAGTGGTATAAGCACCAGTAATAATTGTATTTGCCTTCTGTGCTCTTCCCAAGTAGCTTAGAATAGAATAGAGCTGGAAGGGACCTTGGAGGTCTTCTAGTTCAGCCCCCTGCTCAAGCAGGAGAACCTATACCATCTCAGACATTGACTGTCTAGCTTCTTATAAATCTCCAGTGATGGAGCACCCACGATTTCTGGGGGTAAGCTGTTCCACTGGTTGATTGTCCTCACTGTCAGGAAGTTTCTCCTTAATTCCAGGTTTCTTCTCTTTGATCAGTTTCCAACCATTGTTTCTTGTCCGTCCCTCTGGTGCTCTGGTGAATAACATGACCCCCTCTTCTTGGTGGCAGCCCCTCAAATACTGGAATACTGCTATCATGTCTCTCCTATTTTTTCTTTTCTTTAGACTAGCCAAACCCAAATTCTGCAGCTGTTCTTCATATGTTTTAGTCTCCAGGCCTTTGATCATTTTAGTTGCTCTTCTCTGAACTTTTTCCAAGGTCTCAACATCTTTTTTGTGATATGGTGACCAAAATTGGCTGCAGTATTCCAGGTGTGGTCTTACTAGGGTTGTATAAAGCGGTACTAATACTTCGCATGATCTTGATCCTATGCCTGTTTATACAACCCAGAATTGTATTGGCTTTTTTGGCTGCTGCTGCACACTGCTGGCTCATGGTCAAGTGATCGTCCACTAGGACTCCAAGATCCCTCTCACAGTTGCTGTTTTTGAGCCAGATCTCGCCCAATCTGTACTTGTGCCTTTGATTTTTCCTGCCTAAATGTAAAACTTTGCTTTTCTCCACATTAAAACTCACTTTGTTGGATAGCTCCTTGGATACCTTCTGGGTGGCAACAGTGTCATCTTCCAGTAACCTGTTTTTTGGTGTGTGTTTTTTGGCAGAACGGTGAAGTTGCCATTTTTTTTTCCTCCAGGAATTTATTGTTGGTTGTGATTTTCATCAATGACCTGCCCATTGGGCAACGTTTCTGAGCATGAACACACACAGAGGTATAGTTCATGGCATCACTAGGTTGTGCCAAGCTCTCCTCTACAGGTAGTCCTTGACTTACAACCATAACTGAGCCCAGAATTATGGTCGTAAGTTGTGCCGGTCATTAAGTGACTCAGATGACTGGGCCCAATTTTACAACTTTTTCTGCAGCACTTAAGTGATCACTGGTTGTTAAGTGAGTCCCACTGTCTACAGTGGATGTTTTTTTGCCAGAAAACATGGAAGTAAACACAAGTTTCCGGCAAGAAAGATTGTAAAGTGTGGTCATGTGACCGTGGAATGCTGCAAAAGCCATAAATGTGGGCTAGTTACCAAGCGCCCCAAAATGTGATTAAATGAGCATGGAGGGGGGGAAGAGAAGCAGCCATTGGAAGTTTGAATCAGGGTTGGAAGTAGACTTGGGGTGATCCTTGGTAACTTTGAATAGTCAATAAACAACCAGGTTGAAGACTACCTGTAAAGCAGAGGTCCCCAACCTTGGTAACTTTAAGACGTGTGGACTTCAACTCCCAGAATTCCTCAAAGCTGGCTGAGGAATTCTGGGAGTTGAAGTCCACACGTCTTAAAGTTGCCAAGGTTGGAGACCCCTGCTGTAAAGTACAAGGTAGTAATCCAAGAAGGGTTGCAAACTAGAAGTGCAAAAATAAATCAGAAATCTGTCCAAGAGCAACTGCAGATCCCACAGAAAAATACAGGTTTCCTCCTCCATTTAAAAGAAAAATAAAATGCTGCAGTTCCTCCTACTTCTTCCTCATGGTCTCTTTCACTTTTCTCTTCCATAGCTTGCGTGCAAACACGAGGCTGTGAGATTCCGCCACCCCAACCCCAAAGCGGCTTGAAAGAGAATGGTTTACTGATATCCTGGGTAGTGGGAGATACAAAAATATCTGCCAAAGGGGGGGGGAAGTATCCACAGCCTCCAACATTGCAAAAGAAGAGATTAGTTTTGCATGAAAATTCAGCTCTGAAAATGAGGCAATGCCACCTGGAAACATTGCTTCAGAGAATTTTGAGCTGGTGCAAAGTCCTTACGTTGAGTTGTCCCAAGATGCATCTCTTCCACTTAGCCCCTTCGTGGTTAATTTTTATATTAATGTTAATCTTCGTATTTATTTGTTGTTAAATGTCTATGAAGATTCTCAGTCATCCAGAGATCATTCTTGTCCCAAAGGTGCTTTTTCAAAAGGCAGCTGGACTTTGTTGTTTTTTCTTTTTGTCTTGAAGACGTTTCGCTTCTCATCTAAGAAGCTTCTTCAGTTCCGACTGAACAGAAGCTTCTTGGCTGAGAAGCAAAACATCTTCAAGTAAAAAAAACCAACAACCAAGTTAAATTGCCTTTTGAAAAAGCTCCTTTGGGTTTATTTGCTTTAGTCACGAGAAGCATTTAATGTAAATAGGCAGGCAGGATATTAATAAAATTGAAAATA